AGGTGTCATCAGCTACCACAAAGTCCTTCTGGTTGCCGGGCATCTTCACTATCACTCGAGTGACACTTGAAGAGATATTCCTGTCTGCAGGCAGATCTGCAGGACATCCACTCTGGGACATCCTGGGTGTTTGAGAGATGACATGCGACATGGATCTCAGTGGGTGGGCAGGTGGGAGCAGGTAGAAGCAGGGGCAGGTGGGGTGAGGGCAGACAAATATTTCTGCTGGCCTTTGTCTCAGGTGTTGTGTTCTCAGGCCACAGGCTAGTTTCTTTGTTGCCCAAAGGGGATGAGTGGCCAGGCTGGGGCCAGATATTTTGTGATGTTGTACCCTCACCCCAGGTCTCCAGATGTGGCCCAGCTGAGGCCTGGTGTGGCTACTGATTCATAGTTGGCACACGGTGGACTGAGTGGTGATGACTCTTCCCAGGGCTGCCCCTCCTCCTGCCCCACCCACCGAGGGCATGACCTCTTCAGAAAAGGGATATTGTGATGTCGACTCTAGCCTCACGGTCTGCCAAGAGTAGCTGGGGAAGGAGGGCATATTTAGGGGACTTCAAGAATCTATAATAAAATAAAATAAGACATTTTTTCAGAAAAATGGGGTCAGAGTATTCAGGATAAGGCCAGTAAAATAAATAAAACCCAGATTTTTTTTTTTTTTTTTAATGTGGAATATGTGTAGGTCCATTATAGGGATGTGAAGTTTGTTGCAGGAAAAGTTTGGCCTACTGAAGCCATAAACAAATTTTTACTCCTGTCAATAAAAATGGAGTCTCTGCCATAGAAAGGAGCTCATTAATTTTGTTAATGATCTGGAAAAGGTGGATCTTAGAAAGGAAAATGGAGAAATACTAAAGGTCTATGTGGAAGGGGAAGTCATGTTTTTCTCTGGGATCTTTTGTGATTCTAGGCACAACTAAGAATGCTCCCATGTGGTGGGGAAGAGATTTTCTTGGCCCTAGGAAGCATGAGGATGCCAGCCAGGGAGGCTCCCTGTAGGGGACTCTGAGCTGAAGGTGAGGGAGCTGTTTCTTGCAACACACTTTTTATTCACATATTGCTTGGTTTTTCTACATGTCATTCTAACAAAATGTTTAGAATGACTTGTTTCCATGCTCTAGCCCAGTCTTAAGTGACCACTTTCACATCAAATCTTTAAGTGGCAGAGGTGTCTGTAAATCAAGAGGTGTGTATAGAGGTGGTTAGTAGTAAAATTCCTAAGAAGACAGGTTCGGGCTACTAAAATGCTAGATTCTCAGCTCCATGCAAATTTGGAGGATGATGTTTAATTTTGATTTGGTAAGTTGATGAATTTTCTATTAGTGGACATGTTAAAATGTACATGTATCTCTATGGTGATGTTTGGGTGTAGATGGAAATGTATATATAAGAGTGAGAATGCATGTGTCTTATTGAGTGTATATTTATGAATGTATATGTGTCCAAAAGTGCATGCATCCTCTAGAAAGACTTCAGGATCTGAATCCTTACACATTCTATCCACCTGTCTGGAAGGGGAGGAACACCCTGCAGACAGATAATGGACCAACAGAGAGTTTGAGCCCAAGTTCTCAGTGTGTTGAAGACAGGCAAAGAGACTACAGACATTTGCCAGGAGACTTCCTGCTCTGTCACACCAAAGATTCTTTATTGAGAATGTCTGGACCCCAGCCCAATAGTGTCAGATCCTCCGCCTGCTCAGTTACCATTTGCTAACTTCCTAGAGCAGCACTCAGGCCTAAGCACCTCTCTCAATTGCACTCAGTACTGAGATTGATTCAGGACAATGATAAATTGATCTTTAGACCAAGACCCTTCTCCTTTTCTCCCCAGGGACAACAAAGGAGGGAGGGTAAAAGAGATGGAACTTGCATATCCCACTCTAATGACCAGCTCCCCAGGAACTTTTGCACTGGAATCAGATGCTCTCAACCTGAGACTGACTGTTCTACGTCACAGAACCCTAGAATTGTAGGAGCTGACTTAGTTTACAAAACACAAAACCTGAGATGCCAAAACATCAGAAAGAGGGACTATCATTTTCCTAGCTAAGGTTTTGTTTTGTTTTTCTATCAAATTCACCTAAATCAGTATTAAAGGGAACCTCAATTTGTTGATTCATAAGGAACTAACTAGATATAATCAATATTTCCCAATCATTAGGGCCATGGCCATTTTGGGAAGTGGTCCTCCCACAGGTGAAAAAGAGGACACAATTCTACCAATGCCCTGCCCAACCCTGGGATCTCAAATCCTGGAGCACTTGTGGAGTTTGACAGGTTTTAGTGAAGCAAGAGC